TGTGCTGAAATACCAGAATAATAGTTTGATTATATGAGTATCAGACTCGGGTTCAGTCTGTTGCCCCAGCAGTTGTGCATGCAGAATGGAGCAGCCAGTTACATAAAAGTACAATTTTCTTCATTGTGACCAAAGAATTTTACGCTGGTCTTAAAACGAAAGCAAGCATTCGACAGTTTCCAGTATTGTACCATTTATTTCACTGGTTTTCTATTACAGTGTAACGTTGTTTCCTGTTGTGTGCTCAGCACGAGTGCTGGACTGAAACCTGCTGTTTGATATCATCATGTGGAGACAGATTCCAGTGTGTTTTGAAAAAAACAAAGCTGCTAGTGGGCTGACAGACCAAAATAACACACATGTATGTAAAAATGCATTGTTTGAAAATGAAAACTAAATATTGAGTGAAATGTCACTATGAGCATGTATTTGATGGGGAACATGAGCTGCAGTGTCTGTGACTGGAACGTGTTCGGTTTGTTGGGTTTCAAAGATAATGTTTGAACATTTGACCAACATGTTTCACACGATGGGCACATTGTTGCATGTTTCCTCAGGCTGCTGGAGGGAAGTGCTGTGATCAGAGCTGTGAAATCCTAACATGATCGTTTAACACTGCAGTGTGTTGGTGTGATGAGTCAGACTGGTCTGGTTACTCAAACTGGAGTTCCTCCGTGCTGCTTTACTCTTTGTTCAGTAAAAATGTGAGACGGTAGTGACTGACAGCCTTGAAGCAGCTGTGCCTGAAACTAAAGCTGTGACACAATCTGAGGAGTTTGAAGCCCTGCAAGGTTTGAAACGTCAGTTCCACTGTGGAACCAGTTCAGAGTACATACGTGCACTGGTTTCACTGGTCGTGTTTCCAAATACATGCTGTTTGGTACTGATGACAGAAAAAACCAAACTGTCAACGGTGGGGAATCCTGGTCAGAATCAGACGGAGGCTGTTTGACTGGTTTTCTTGTGGCTTTTATCAGGAACTGGGAGAGGAGGCCGGACTGGTGGTCGGATAAAACGAGGTATCTGCAGAACTGTGATATTTTTATTTCTTTATTCTTATTGGCTTGTTCATTGTATTTATTGTAATAGTGGTGCTTAAAGTGTGTGTGTGTGTGTGTGTGTGTGTGTGTGTGTGTGTGTGTGTGTGTGTGTGTGTTTGGAAG